AGAAGTTAACATATAATGCCTATTGTCTACAGGAGGGAAGCGTAAGTAATATGTATATGTATATTCCTGATATTCAAGCTAAATTATGCTACATATAGACTGTCTATGATTGGGAAGCTGAGCCAACACCCAGGAAGAGTTGTCCCTGCTTGACCTGCTCGGACACCAACTGTCTCAAACCGGTCACAACCTTGCTTGAATCACAAAATCTTTGTGACTTATGGAAAAATTGACTCATGTGCCTTCGGGGACATTGCGAAACCAGAGGAAGAAACTTCCCCATTTTGACATCAGCGCAACCGGGCGCGGGGATTTTCCATCGTTTGTTCTCCTTTTTCTCCCTTTTTGAATTTCTCTAAAAAATTTTCTCTCTTCCGCGATTCTGGCGAGTTTCCCCTTTTACATTCCTTACTCAATCTGGATGAACCAAGATGAACGCTGTATTGGATTTCTACGGGGATTTTATCCGATTCAGTGTATTTTTCTGCAATGTGGAGGTCTATTTTTGTGGATTTATGTAATGAGCCCTTACAAGAATGAGCGCAAGCAAAGTCGTCACAAATAGGTAAGGATGCGTGAACCACAAGATAAATAGCATTTTCCCATAATGCAGAATACAAATACAAAAATAACTGATAAAGATAGGATCGTCGATTAAGACCATATTACGACTTTGAATTAGGCGAGGTGAACCTCCGGAGCGTTTCGAGACCTGATCAATCTGAGAAAGGCTGACCGATGATACACAAAGCATTTTTAACAGCATTTACTCAATTATTTTATTATTATATCAATTTTCTTATCATCGCACCTCACAATGTGGTGACTTTAACATTGACTTATTAAACCCAAATGAACACAAAAAAAAACAACTGACTTTATAAATACTATGTACAGCAACAGTCTTTTGCCAGTAATCCTGAAACCTAGTAGAATAAGAGTTGACACGGCCACATTAATAGATAACATATTTCTAAATAAGATTGATCATAAAATGGAAAGTGGACTTCTCATTACTGATATAAGTGACCATCTACCTGTCTTTGCAGTTTTTCATAATTATTTTGATAGAAAAACAAAGTCAACAACTCACATATCAGAAATAAGACTAAGAACCCAACGCTCCATCGATGCTTTTAAGCAAGACCAAGAAAAACAAAACTGGACCGAGGTCTACTCAAACGAAGACCCAAATACAGCGTTTGATGCATTTCAGTCTACCATAATCTCCTTATATGATGAACATTTTCCATTCACTTAAAGTCTCCAAAAAGCACAAAGACCCAAGTAAGCCATGGATAACGAAAGGCATAGAAAACGCATGTAAAAAGAAAAACAATTTGTAGAAATTGTTTATAAAATTGAGAACTAAAGAGGCAGAAAAAAATATAAGACCTATAAAAATAAATTAGTAACTATTATAAGAACTAGTAAGAGAGACCATTATCATGCACTGTTAGAGCAGAATAAAAGCAACACACAAAAAATATGGAAAAAACTTCATCAAGTAATCAGAAATAGTCCTAAAAAAGTGGATTATCCAGAGTATTTTATCAAAGGCAAAAATACTATTATTGAAAAAACTGCAGAAATAGCAATTGAATTTAATGAGTACTTTGTCAATATCGGCAGTAACCAAGCAAAACAAATTCCTGATCCAACAAACTTGTTTGAAATAAATAGATACGTGGAAAAAAACTCTTCCACGATGTTCCTTACTGCTGCAAAACAAGAAGAAGTATCAAATATTGTAAGAACTTTTAAAAATAAAAAGTCAACTGATTGCTTTAATATTGATATGACAATAATAAAACAGATTATAGAATTTGTAGTGCGACCTTTCACGGACATATGCAACCTGTCATTCAAAGTGGGTATCTTTCCATCAAAAATGAAAATTGCTAAAGTTATTCCAATTCATAAAAGTGGAGAAAGACATTTGTTTACAAATTATAGACCAATATCACTACTACCACAATTCTCAAAAATATTAGAAAAAACTATTCTCGAGCAGACTTGATAGCTTTATACAAAAACATGCGCTGTTCAGTGAAAATCAATATGGCTTCATGGAAAAATGGACCACCTCAATGGCAGTTATGGAGTTTGTGGAAGCAATAGCCATTAATATGGACAACAAATAATTTACTGTTGGGATTTTCCTCGATCTAAAAAAAGCTTTTGACACAATAGATCATAGTATGTTATTGAATAAATTAGAGAGATATGGCATGAGAGGTGTAGCTTATAAATGGATAAAAAGTTATTTAGATAACAGATATCAGTACGTGCAGCTCAACAATAAAAAAAACGAATCAACTGAAAATCACTCATGGAGTTCCTCAGGGGTCTGTGCTTGGTCCAAAACTATTCATCTTATATATAAATGATATCTGCAAGGTCTCAAAACAATTTAAATGTGTCCTATTTGCTGATGATACAACTTTCTACTGTTCTGGAATAAATCTGAAACAGCTCCTGACAACCGTAGAAAATGAATTAAATTAAAAAACTGGTTCAACAGGAATAAATTGTCACTTGAAAAAATCTAAGTTAATTGTTTTTGGCACAAGACCAATCAAACACCAAGCTAAAATTATGGTAAACTCAATTGAGATAGAAAGAGCGTATGAAACCAAGTTTCTCGGATTAGTAATAGACTCAAAACTATGTTGGAAGCCACATATCGATAACGTAAAAAGAAAAATTGCCAAAACCATAGGGATCCTCTACAAAACCAAGGAAGTGCTAAATAAGGGATCTTTGTACACATTATACTCTTCATTATTATTACCATATATGACCTACTGTGTGGAAATATGGGGAAATGCCTGCAAAACAAACACACTCCCTATTTTAAAACTACAAAAAAAAGCAATTCGAATTATTAATAAATCGAAATATACGGAACCCACAAATCCATTATTTATCAAATTAAACACGATGAAATTTTATGACCTGGTTGACTTTAAAATCGCCCAATTAATGTACAAAGCACACAATAACCTGCTCTGCCAAAACATTCTGAAGTTTTTCGAAATTCGAGAAAGCTGCTATGATTTAAGAGGTACCACCCTATACAAAAAAATCCTAAACAAGAACAAACATCAAGCAAAGAAGTGTATCTGTCATAGGTGTTAATGTGTGGAATAATTTCGAAACGGACCTGAAAATGAGTAAATCGCCTGCTGAGTTTAAAAACAAATTTAAAAAAATAGTACAAACAACCTACATCAATCAGAGTTAAGGTGATAAATTCTAAACATTAATTAAATATCATAATAAATCAGAATTAAGTTGATAAATAGAGAAAGGTACTGCAATATCCATCATAAATACAAGAGAAAATTGACACAAGAGTGCTAAAAATATCACGGTTAAGGGTAAAAGCATTAGCCTTTATGGAGACTTCTTCCTTCTTTCTTTCTTTCTTTTCTGATTGATATAAAAATGATCTATTTATATATAAATACATAACTTGGGGTAGGACTAGATACGTTTTTTTTTTTACTTCTTCCTACTCCTTTGAACATAATAATTGTGTTGTACGATGACTGATTTCTCTTTCCTTTTTACTGTTTTACTTACCTTACTTTCTGTCAATTTATTACTGTATATGTTTTTATGTTCAATAAACAAACAAACAAAACAAAACAACAAAACAAACAAAAACAATACATCTATCCTCTATTTCTCATTGTTCTCCTTATCATCTATCCTTTAACTATTTCCTAAAAATACCTTGCTTTATTGTCGTAGGATGATCGGGAAAAATAGAATCAACATAAATCTATCTTCTATCCTGATTAAGATGTTCGTGATTACTGCTGTGAATTCCCAGCGACTGGCTGGTTTACATCATGTAAGAATGAATCTTAAAACATTGATTGTAAACGTATCCTTGTCCTCTCTATGATCTTAACGCATCACCATCACACCCTCCATCAAAGTGTGAACGGCCGAGACTCGGTTGGATTACCGTCGGGTCTCTAGGAATTCTATCTAAATGAAGAATGATAATCTAAATGTGTTTAACTCCGGCTTAGGATAGGAAAAACCTAAAACAAAACAAAACCGAGTGACCATAACAACGGTGATTAAACCGTAACCTAGGTGAGATACCAAATGCAACAGCGTACATAAATATGAGAGGGAGCTGCCGTAAAAACGAAGCGTTCGTTTTGTAGCTCTCCGATTCTGTATCGGTTACTCATCGGGGTTAGAGATGAAACGAATGGAAACCGGGTTGGCTTCGTAAAACCAAAGGCAGTGAGAACCTCGGCGTGTCTCTCTCAGCTTTGGCTCGCCATGTGGGGAGCGCCTCGGCGCTCGTTCGTCCCCTCTCGTGTGGCGCGGCCGCCGCGTTGCCTCACGGTCGGGTGTCGCGCGGGGGTGGGGTGGTCGTACGAGAGTCCACAAAGTGGGGGTTGCTTCCTGGCCCGTTATCGGGAGAGCTGACGCGGGATGTCAAATCTTCCCGGTTCACTTCCCGTCGCTGACACCAGTCATCCATTTCCTATACTGCCTGTCGTCTTTAGGATTGCACATGGATTATCCCAGCTGACTTTTCAGTGACAACCCGGACTGGTCGCGAGGCACAGCAGGAAAAATACCAGTCATTCCAACAAATACTGTCACTGTCCAACATACAAGAACAGTAGGAGTGGTCGCGCGCTTCATGAGTCTACGAGTTCATGTGATGGGAAAATATCTGTATTCTCTCTGTGTTATATTTCAACAATCAATGAAAACACATTCTGCTATTGCAGGCAGGCAGAGTGCAGATCAAATGCAAGAGAGGCAGGTGGCTCACCGATCTAAGTGGAGTTTGTGGGCTAAGAGTTGCCAGTCCTTGCCCTTGGCATTGGCAGTGTCAAAGGTGGCGCAAATCCTCTGGCGGATGGATAAGGGGATTTTGAAAGCCTTGGGCCCCGTCTGAGAGGTGATGGTGCAGTCTGTCTGCATGAAAACTGGAACCAATTCCTTTTCAGTCTGGCGGGGGAAAAAGAAGTGGGAGATGACATGCTTTAATCCGTTAGTAAGTCAGATGTGGGGGGTTTATTTTTCAAAAGTCACAGCACAACATGACACCAACATGTCTGATGTGATGAAATTGTTTGTACACACGAAAGACATAATGTAACTATGAATTCCCGCCTCTTTGTATTTTCCCCTATATGGAAGACACCATTGTCAAAACGATCTCATTCGGTACACATTGTCTCACACAAACAAAAACATCCAAATAATTGCTTGTTAGCTAATAGCTATCATATCATACGTCACGCAGCCGTCAAATTACAAAATAGTTTTGCTGACATTTACTCAGAAACAGCTTTACTTATGTTTTGTTGAGGAAAGAAATGAGTTATCTCACAAATGTGTTTTACGTGTTTAGGAGTAATAAATGTTCGGATCTCTCATTGCATGTGAGATGAATGTAATGGTATGTTTGATCCAAAGTAGAATGTATTGCATATTTGGAATGCATAGAAGAGCCTTGAATGGAAACTTTTGGCAAAGTGGCCAAACGGGTGAAGGCTGAAAGGAAGGAGATGACTTTGCAGTTTTCCCCAACTAACAGGAAATGTACAAATCACATTAATTGCCCGAGGGGGTGTGACTTTGCTGCAAAGAGTATAAACCAATCATGCCACAAAAAGCAGAAAACATTACCTTTTGGAATGATCAAACGAGGAGAGGCAGCTTTTTTACAAATGTTCTGACTGCCCTTTTTTTTTTTTGTAACTTTCTACAAAAGGGTTTAAAAGCATGCGTTTGGAGCATTTGGGGCTTTTTTTTCTTGGAGGTCCGTGAGCTTTTTTCTCAGATGGAGCAAATGGTTCAGTTGCTTTGACAGATGACATTTCATTCCTTTTTGCTTTCTGTGTGAGATTCAAGGTAGGTAGGAGCAATTTTGTTATCTATTAGGCTTACATATTCAAAAATTCAATGCTAAAAACAGGCTAGGAGAAAAACTGCGTCATAGAAGGGAGAACCTATTCCTCCTCTGCCCAAAACGATTTTAGTAAATTTAGATTGTCGTTGACTACGGGGAACTGATCACCCGGCTGTCCACCCAAAAAGTGGCATTTTTTTTTAAAGGTATTTTTGCACTTTCGAATTGGCACATCGTGAATTGTAATCCTTTTCATCTGGACTTTTGTTGGTATAGTTAACCTCTTTGAGGGATTCGAGGGAGGGATTGAAGTGAGTAGAACTATTTTAATCCCCAAAAGTGATTATCAAATTGCCATTTTATTTTCCTGTTATTCTCTTGTACCTGCTCTTACTTATTTTCAACAATTTTATGTATTCCTGCCATGCTATTAAAGATTTCATTATGTATTTTACTCTATTTTTGTCATTCTTACCACCTGGACTCTTTCGTGAATGAACAGCGATTCCCATTTCACGGACTTGCCATAGAGCAGCCTCGATTGTTACTTTGGCTCCGGAAAAGATAAAACAAGTCCAAGCGGTCCTAACAAGAAGAGCTAAACTTATCAAGATCTGAATAAGTGCAACAAATCATTTAGAGAAAGAGCTACTGTGAAAAGCTCTACTTATTTAACCCTTTCATGCACCAATAACGATAACCCGTAACGTGATAACATGATAAGCTGTCCACTGTATTAACCGCTGTCCCTGGAAGGGTTAAATGGAGAGTCGGTTGGGAATGTTCTATTCCCTCGGTAAGCGAGACTTGCCAATATGCAGACATTCCCGTTTTACTGGGTAAACAGCCCACAACCACCTACATTTTAAAAAATATAGATGCATGGGTGTTATTTTCAAATATGAAATATTTTAATTGGTATTACTGTATTCCAATTCAATAACTTGTGTGTCTCTACATTATATGACATCGTTGCTTGGTGAAGATGTAAGATTTTTTTTCCGAAGTAAACCTTATCTATGTAGACATAGTACATTTTTATCAAAACAATCCAAACAGAGTAAATTGTACATTTGGAAGAGAGCAGATTTTAGTCAAAATATTTTTACTGTGTATGACATAATTTATGCATCTATGTGGGTGGAACATCGAAGTTTAATGATCATTTTCAGACTCTATGAAACTTAAAGTCCCCGTAAAGTGAAAGTAAATCGATCTTGTAAGTCTGACACACCACAGAAAAGAGTGTGGTTAACATCCCTGCCAAAATTCAATGATTTGAATGAAAAAAAAAAAAAATCAAGTGCCAAGTAAAATTGGTCGATAAATTTTTACGGAGTCACTTTTTTTTTTTCAAAATAAGATAAGATAAGATAAGAAAACCTTGATTAGTCTCGCAGTGGAGAAATTCCCAATTCACAGCAGCAAAGTTATGAATGGAAGAAGTAGAAGAACAAAATATAGGAGCTGCTGGAAAGGCAGCCACTCACGCGGCGCCATCTTGAAGTCAAAATAACAAAAATAACACAACACAACACATAGGACACAGACAGTCGTGCAATCTTCACCACTTTCCTGCATACACTTTGTTGTCTGAAGCAGTTATAGATGAAAGAGGAGAGGATCAAAGTGTCCTTTTACCAGTGGATCAGAGACGTCATGCTGAAAATGTGCACGTCTGCTACAAGCTAAGTCGCATTGGCGCTCTGCGCTAACGCTCCTTTCTTCTCATCGTCGGCTCCTCAAGCCTTGCATCCATCCAGCCGCAGACCGTTCAACAGCACTGATCTCTCCGCTGAACAAAGCGGGGATGTGAAAATGCTGCCCATTACAGGCGCAAGACACAAGCGCCCCCGGAGCTGTCCAGCAACGACAGTCAAATGGCGCCGACATTCCTCCCAATCAAAAACAGTGCTGGCATACCCATGCTGCCGAGAAGGCAAAACCACCAAGCACCGAGTCTCCTCCTTGATGAATGTCGTGGCCAAAAAATGCTGAAAACAGTCCACATCAGGTCCACATGACGTAACAACAAACACAAAGTGACAAAACAAACAGAAAAACAACAAAAAAAGCAAGGCTCATGAGAGCACTTGCAGATGGCTGCCTACTCGGGCGCCATCTTGGACTTCAATCAAAAAAATTGAGATGTATTTAAACGTTTTGGAGAACAACTGTTAGCCGGGCTACTGAAACGGGGGTAAATCTTCAGAATGGATCAAGAGCTCTTCACTTGGAGTACACGAGGCTCGAATCAAGGTCAAATGTGTGTCACTTATGTTCCCATCAAATAAAAGTTGATTTTAATGGTTTGGCGTCCAATTAATAAACTACTTGATGTGAATTTTACTCTCTTCGCAAGTGTAAATTTGACTCTTTTTAGACTGGAACCACCTATAGTCTTTTAGAGTAAATTGTATTTGATGAAATTTATTATGTAGCATACTCATATCTATTCAAATATTTTTGTCCATCAGATCCACTGTCTTTTGTTATTTTGTTGATGCACTCACATATAATTGCCAAGATATAGGGATATTTTTTAGGTGATGTGAGGAAGAATGTTTGCTATTTTGAACAGGCATCACAGCTCGCCTTGATTGTGTTTGTGACAGACTTTTTATAATTAACATATAACTCAGCTCTACCACCGCCGTGGATGGAAAAAAATAAAACATACTTTGCTTGGTTGTCACACCTGACGAGAAACTCAAATCTACTCGGGATGATGAAAGCTTCGTCGTGTTGAAGGCCTCGGGGCAAGACAAGCATGGAAGTGACTGAGTGTGAAAAAGCACTCGTGAGCAGACGAGTATCACTCTCCTCTGCCTAAACAGCCGCTTGTCAAGGTGCTCTTGAATAAGGATTTCAAACTCCGAGCTGCTCCAGTGGAGCTGCTCAGCCGCTGACAGACGACGGTTGCTGCTCTGAGAAGCTCCCAGGTGTTCATGCATGTGAATGTGAAAGTAGTTATTTTCTGGACAAAGTGTCTTTCTGAATAAAGATTAGTAAAGGCATGGAATGTGCTAGACTGCTGTTATGGATTTACTGTACAATTTTGGGGGTGGGAGGGGGGGTGGGGGAGACATACTGGTGTCCTCACTCAATTACTACACAACGCACGCTCAGGAGAGCTCGTCCTGCTGACAGTGGACACACTGCAGGAAGGTTACACAAAGGTCGAGCAAGAAAGTACACCGTCCCTTCCGTCTCCCACCCGCAGATAAAGTGGCTCACCTTGCCAACAGCTGTGTAAACCTGCAGAATCTGTTCATGGCCTTTGACCTGCCGCACGCTGATTTTGCAGGAGAGCTGGGTGGCGGCTGGGCTGTATCTCTCCAGGGAGAAGGCACAGTGCAGAGGCTGCTGGTTGCTGCACCACACTTGGGGGAAGGAGAATTCCTGCCAGGAACATATAATGACAGAGTAAACCACAGCGGTACGTGAAAAAACATGACTCATCTTCCCGGAAATCTACATCTTATTATGTGACCTGTCAGTTCTTCTCAGAGGAGATTGGAAAAACAGTGTTGACCTGCGTTTCCTTGCTGAAGACCCGACCCTCGTGATTTTGATCTTGACTGCAAGGCATAGCGCAAAGCAGCAGGTATTATTCGGGGAGAAGTAGGGGGAAGGTGTGGAGTACAGGCGAAAAAAAGCTCGGATGCTCTTCAGCACTAAAAGCTGACTTGACGTATGCCACAAAGCTCGGCTATTATTCTACACCTGCTCCACCAAAGCGAGGCGTGCCTGCTGTCCCGAGGCACTCATAAATAAAGCTGTTGGGAAGGCGGACGACTTTGAAGCACACAGCTTTCGGCCCGCATTCACTGTATTTATTTTTTTGAGGAGTCAGGATGCAGCTCAGCAGCTCTGCAAATTTCTTCCACAGGTAAAAAAAAAAAAAAAAGCAATAAATAAAACAGTGGTGGTTGACTTCCGCAGTCTGTGCTACTTATTAGATGCCGCATGTTCCTGATCCTGAAAAAAATAAGATGTGTATGAGCAAGATTGATATTGGAGAGGGAGTTCTCAACTACGTGTTTGCTGGCAAGTGAAAATCACAGCAGGTTTTGGAAAGACGTACAAATGAATCTCCCTCAAACTCTGCATGTCTTTGTACAGGATGCGCTAGCATTGGCATTGCAGCAAGCAATGTCCTGAGGGCAGCGGCCTTGAACAATCATCAACATTTTCAAAAACTCATTTGCCGTACCGTATTTTCCACACTAAAAGGCGCACTGGATTATGAGGCGCACCTTCAATGAATGGCCTATTTTGTAATTTTTTTCATAAATTGGACATTATGAGACGCAATCTACAATGCATCCACTAGATGGAGCTACGCTCAAGGAAATGTGAACAACACTACACTGCACTACACCCTGATTTATGTAATGACGATCAGAGGGTTAATCAAGCAGCGACACAGTTTACTTAACCAACAGCAAGTTATAACATTGACTCGTTAACGTTGAACTCTCTTGCCGCTGCTCTACTTCCGTGTTCAACTGCGAAACCGATCGCCTTAAGTTTGAACTCGGCGTTGTAAGCAAGTCTCAAGCAAGGAGCCATTTTGGGGGTCGAAAAATTACCGTAATGACCATACACAAGGCGCATCGGATTTTAAGGCCCTGTGAGCTTTTAAGAAAATGGAAGGCTTTTAGGTGCACCTTTAACTGCGGAAAATATGGTATTTGTTTGGGTCAGCTGTTTACAAACTCAACTAAGGTTGAGACAGCAGTCAGATACAATTTTGCATACAAAAGTGTTTTAAATCTCGTCTGGAGTGGCAGCAACTAACCCAGTCAGCTAATATTTTGTTTTTGTGCCACTGTATTTTTACTTGGATAGCATAAAAAATGCACAAATCAATGTAATATTGCCCTCAAATTTAAGAGGTGGGTGCCTTGCTCAAGGGCACCTCAGTGGTAGTCAGGAAACATCGTAGTCACTCTCCACCGACCAGCTGCACAGGTGTCAGAATGATCATTCGTTTGTT